AAAAAAAAAAAAAAAAAAAAAAAAAAGGAAAAGAAAGAAGTAAAAAAATGAAAAGATGGTGGAGACACTCAGATGGAACACAAAACAAATGACCCTGACTCTTGCAAATGAGTAACAGAAGAATGGAGGAGAACCCATGTGATTGGAAAAATAATACGTGAGATGAATTCAAAGACAAAAGAACTGTACAAAGTTGTATCCTCTAGCAAGTAGACAGAAGCATTCTGAAGCTACTGAGACAGAAGACAGAAAAACAGGCAGTTAGGACAGGGCCTGAGTAAACTGAGACAAGCTCTGGGAAGCTGGAATGCTAGGCAAGCCTCCCCTCCTGACATGAGATGCCTAGCTAAAAGCGGCAACTGCACTGTTCCTTTGTTTTATTTTCACACCAAGGTCTACATAGCTGGACATAGGCTTCCACAGTATCTTCCTCCTTCTCAGCTAACTGAGAGTCTTTCTTTGTTCTAATAAACTACAGTGTTGTATTCAGGAAACACAAGGAGGACAGAACTGGTTACATCGCTGGCACTCAACAGGGGCACTTCTCTATGGAGAAGTAAGTATACCAGGAATGACCAGACCTCACATTCCTTCTCTATCCTTTTTATACCCTAAGAAACTAAGGGTACCCTATCAATTAGTTAAAAAGCTACTAGAGCAGTTGCTACTCTAACAACAGAGGACAGGCTCCCTATCAACCTCCTGGTGGGAAAGTTGGTCTGGCAGGGAGCTGGATTCCTTAGGCTGATCTCTGGATTACAGGAACTGGTGAAAGCCAATGATCACTGCAAGGCTCAGGCTGGGGCTGGGTCCCCACCACCACCACCCTGCCCCTGAGTGTTCACAGATCCTCTGCTGGAAGTAGGGTCACAGCAGCCTGACTGGGTAGCCAACAGAGACACCCCCATTTGCCTTTTGCATCCATCCTGCACTCTTCCATGGGGGACAGGTAAACTCACTCTGTGCTCTCCAGGTATCCCCTTTCCAGGTGACCTGAAACCTCCTCTGTCAGAATGGCTGACTCTCTCTTCTCCAGATGTCTTGACAGATTTACTGTGCCAGAAATACAGGTTCCTAGTCCACATTTCTTTGCTTTGAGAAACAATCCTAAATGCTGCAGGTCATGTGGCATAGACTTGGCCCTGCTGGCAGTCCCCATCCCCTCAGCTCCAGGGACCCCCTCTCCACCCCAAGAAAAATCTCCTGAGCCAGGTGTGGTGGTACACTTTTGGGAGGCTGACACAGGAAGATCGACAGAATTCAAGGTCAGCCTGGGATACATAGTGAGGCCTGAACTATATAACAAGATCCTGTCTCAAAACACCAAAAACAAAACAAAAAACTCCTGAGGAGCACCCCCATTTTACCCCCCACCCCAGGAAGAACTTCCTAAAGAGTCTTCCTGTCTCCTTATCTTGGGCCCACAGTGGAAGGGTAGAGGCAAAGACATCCACTCTGCTTCCCCTCCAAGTGATAAAGAATGGCCAGAAGGGGCTTCCCACCTGAGGTGAGCTCAGGTCCTGTTCTTCCTGGGAGACCTGGGACAGATAGAGACAGACCTAGACAAGCTTTCAGAGGACTCCAATAGACTTCTCTTGGAGGCATGTGATGCTCCTTTTGAGCCAAATCCTTTCCAACTCAGAAAAACAGGCAGCTCTGAGAGAAGCACAGGCTTTGGGGATGAACGGTACTCTGCCCAACAAGCAGCTGAAACCCATTTCCAGCTGAGGACCATGACAGTTCCCCATGAGGAGCCCCTAGGAGACCCTAGCAATTCAATGGGATCAGGATTTTTGGAAACAGCATTTCCTGGTCTGTATAATAGAGGGCCTCCAAAGGACCTGAGTCTAACCTCTAAACTATTCCAAACTGTCAATGGTGACCCAGGGAAAGGAAGAGAGTCAAGTGACTCAAGGAAGCCCTAATCAAATATAACTTCCTGCAACCTGAGTCACCAGGAAGAAAATTTACTTTAAAGGGTAAGTTCATTGCCCAGTTTGCCCCTGACATTTGGAAACAGCTACAGAAGTTAGCTACAGCACCAGAGCACCCTCTTAACCATCTACAAAGATTAGCCACCATGGTTTTGTCAATCAGGATCAGAAGGAAGCCAAAGCACAGGAATGAAGGGACAAGAAGAGGGGTACCCTGTTAGCAGCTGCCCTATAAGGATTCCCAGGAGTCTTCCACAGATAGATGTTATAAATACACAAAGCCAAGACACTTTAAAAAGTGCCTCCACCCAGGACCTGTCCTAATCACCAAGGAAACCACTGGAAGGCTGTTTGCCTCCAGGGATGAAGGTCCCAGGGCAAACCAGTCCAACATAATGCTCAGCAGCACTGGTAGGTCTAGGAACTTCTCTTGACTCCCAAGACCCAGATCTTCAATCTCCAGAAGCCCCAGATAACCCGAATGGTGGAGGGTCAAATGGTCATCTTTACCTTGGACACTGGTGCCGCTTTATTGGCTCTTTCTTCCCTGTAAGCATGACAGCAAGAGGGTATCAGAAAAAGCAGTCACTTGGTTTTTCACATTCCCTTAAACTGCAGTTGGGAGCTCTACCCATTCCTTTCCGGTTATGTCAGAGAGCCTCACCCCATTGCTGGGAGGTGAGCACCAAAATTCTAATTGTCCTAAGACAGACTTCTCCTGCCCTTACAAGAGACTGAGATGAACCCCAAAATATCAGCCTCAACAGGACAAATAAGCTGGGCTTTAATTAACTGCTTAGCCAGTATGAATCCATCTTAAGGACTCAGCCTCCTTGCCCACATTGGAGAAATATATCCCACTAAGGCCAGAGGCCAAGTAAAGATTAAGAAAGATCTTTAAAAACCCAGGGCCCAGGTTTTAAAGTTCCACAGCCTCCTAACCCCTTTTAATACCCTCCACAATGCCCCAATAAGTCCAAAGGGCCAATGGGGAGTGGAGACTAATACAAGGATCTATCCAAATTATTAATGATGCTGTGATTCCCATATACCCTACAAGACCCCAACCCTGATACTCTGTTGACCCAGGTCACCAAGGGGTCTAAATGGTTTACAGTGTTAGACCTAAGGGGTGTTTTCTTTTGCATTCCTCTGCACCCTTTCCTATTTGCTTCTGAGGACCCTTCAGACCAAATGATCCAACTTTGGACTGTCCTCCCACAGGGATCCCAGGACAGCCTTCACCTTTTTAGGCAGCCCTTGTCCCAGGACCTATTTGACTTCTACCACCCCAAGAGTAAGTTTCTGCAGTATGTAGATGATCTCCTGGAATGTGCTCCATCTGAGGAGGATTCCCAGAAGGGAAACCAGGTCTTCCTCAACTTCCTGGCGGAGAAGGGATACAAGATATCCAAGAGTAAGGCTAGTTATGCCAGTATTCTAGACAATATTTGGGCTCACTATATCTGAAGTCTCTAGGGCTTTCGGTAAAGATAAAATTGAGCCCATCTTATCCTTCCCCCTCCCCTAAACCTTAAAACAGCTAAGAGGATTCCTGAGTACCACTGGCTTCCGAAGCCTATGGATCCCAGGCTACACTTTATCAAATGGTCAGACACACAGACACAAAAAAATCCTATCCTGGTAAGAGAACCACATAGCCTTTCAAGCATTAAAAAGGTTCCCCTCAGGCCAGGGATATAGCTCAGGGGCACCCTGCCTTTGATCCCCAGTACCAAGAAAAAAAGAAAGAAAAAAAAAGATTCTCCTCAGGGCTCCAGCTATGCAAGAAGCTTCGATCTATTTTGTGATGGAAAAGAGGGTGCACCAAGTTTACCTCAGACAATGGCCTGATCATGACCTCTCCTTATCACAGATCAGGGCTGCTGCTTTCCCAGGAAAGCCTCTGGGTCTCAGGCAGCTGACTCTTGAGCTATCAGACTATGAGGCTGGAGGGACCTGCCATCTGAATAAGAACCTGCTCTCACTTAAATTCTTCTACATTTCTCTCACAAAAACAAGAAAAATTAACCCATCATGGTAGCCAGCTGGTATTAGAAATTTATGCCACAAGAGACCATCTGCTAAATCCAAACTGGACACTTCTCACAGATGGGAGCTCCTGTGTAGAACAAAGTGTTCAAAGGGCAAGATAAATGATGGTGTAAACAGAAGTCATAGAGAGCTCACCCATTTCCCAGGAAACAAGTGCTCAGGTAGCAGAACTAGTTGTTCTCACCTAGGCTCTTGAACTAAGCAAAGGCAAGAGGGCTAACATATACACAGACTCAAAGTATGCCCTTCCGGTCCTTCATGCCCACACTGCCTCTGGAAAGAACAAAATGTCCTCCCAACCACATTGTCTCTAAAAAATACCAACAAGAAACTGACCACCTGCTATGCATAGTACCCCTCCCTTGAGAAAGAGCAATCACCCACTATAAAGGGCACCAAAAGGGAGCTAAGAG